ACTTTGCATTTTCGGGTGTGAGGGGGAGAACCATCGCTAGTTTGTTGCCATCTGACACCGAATCACTTGTCCAACAGGTCAAACCCCTCCGTGTGTGTAGAGTAGTTAAAGGCTAAAGGAGCTTTGTGGCGGGAGGAGGAAGAATTTAGTGTGGAACGAGGGATTGAAGTGGGAGTAATGGAAATTAAGGATATCAGGAAAAACCTGGATGGTGAGTGGCAGAAGCACCTTTGCTTGTCGTGTAAACACCTGGTGTTTGGGCAGAGCCACGGGAAGCAGGACTGGCAGTGGTTTTGTGGCCACACGGGAGGGGTGACCTTAACCCTGTGCTGGTTGTTTGGGTGCTGGAAGGGAACAGCACGGGCATGGCTGACCCAGGGCAAGGTCACTGCTCAGGCTAACAGAGACTGTGCTTCTTGCATGCTCTTGCCTTGGAAAAGCCTGGGTTTAACACATGAAAGCCTGGTGTGAGGCAGGGGAAGCTCTCACTGCTGAGGAATGTGCCCGCTGGACACTCACAGCTTTCCCAACGCCACCGTCCCCTCTGTCCAGGGAACAGCACTCACAATGTTGTCTCCTGATGAATAGAGCTTTTTCTCTTTTTTTTTTTTTTTTCCCCTTGTTTTCTCGCTGGATCACAGAACTGAGCATGCCCAGAAATTCAAGCCACGAGATTAAATCAGTATTATTTGAATGTTTGTGAAGGACTTCCTGTGCCAAAGGGAGAAATCCTCGTGCTCATTGTGCACGAGTGCTTCCGATTGGTGTCGCTTGGAAGGTCTCAGCCAGTTGTAGCACTCCTATTTGGTTTCCTGATACTTTGCTGTTTGCAAAGACACCTCTTGATGATTAAAATTCCTGGCTGGCTTTAGGATGTTGAACTGGAAAGTGTGTGAGGGAGAAACGTGTGACCCTCACTTTGAATCCTGCTGCTCACCTGAGCTAGATCTGATTCCAAAGGCTTTGCTGTTTTCTCCCACTGGATTGTCCTTTCATCCAGGACAGGCAGCACCCCTGACTCTGATTTTTGCAGGAGGGAAACCGGGATTTTCTTCAGTCTCTTATCAGTGCTGCTTCTTGGCAAATTGCTGTAAGGATGTGCCATCCCTGCCTCTGCTGAAGAAGCCACTGCCAGGTGACAGACTTCCTGCGGGGACAGGAAACCTCTGGAGTTCAGTGCATGGACTGACACAGGGCAAACACTGCACTGGAACCACGGCCAGTGTTAAACATTAGCGAGGCAGAGCCTTTGCCATAGAATCTCCCTTCCTGTCCAGCCTGTCCTCCCTTTTCCAGGAGATCAGCTGGGCTATTTTCCCTGTATCTGGTTAGAAATTCATTGCTGGCCCCTACAGCGAGTCAGGAGGAGTTGAAGGACCTGAGGAATCACCGGTGAAAAACCCTTTGCCCTGATTTTCCCTGGGAAGGAAGCGGCTCAGGGTGTTCTGGCTAACTCCTTCCTTCCTGAATAACTTCTGTAAACCCGAATTCCTCGTGGTTCCTCTTTGTCCTGGCTGCTGTGAGGGTTCCCCAGTGCTCGGAAACACCGCTGGGTTATCAGCCCATGGCAGCAGTTCCTGCTCAAATCAAATCGTGTCCCCCTCTACTGAGGGAAGGGCTGGTCCAAAATCCTAACTGAAAACTGGATCATGTCTCTGTTAAACTCACCTTGGGAGACTCTGAGAGCAGCAGGGGCTGAGTGGCTGTTCCTGCAGTTCCTGCCAGGAGGGACCAGGATGCTCTGTCACAGATCTGCACGTTAGTGCATTTAACAGGATGTCTGTTTGGAAATGAAACCTGTGTAGCTACTCAGAGGGATGTTAAGGGTTAATGAGTCCAGTAGACCTTGAAGATGCCCTTTTGATAGTTAAAGTGTCCCCAGATTTCACTGGGCTGCTCCCCTCTGCCCTTTTAAAGCTTTGTTGTAGATGCCTGTCGTTGCTGACATGATGACTTTAAGGATTCTTTTCTTGTCTAATTGTAGTCCAAATGCGTAACAGAAAGTGCACCACAGCCTGGGGAAATGGTAGGTCTTCCATGGGACTGGGGCAGTGGTAAAGGGGTGCTGGTGCTAGTGAATTTTTGCATTAGAGAACTGGAAATAAAGAGGGTCTGACAGGCCACACCTGTCAACAGCCTTAGGGGCAAGAAGCACGTCCCAGGACACACTGCCAGCTTTGAAAAACCCAGATATGCACAAAATAATGGTTCCTAACAGCTGGAAATTGTTTGTTGAGCTGCGAATCGGGAGCAGTGGGTGACGCTGGGTTCTCATTTGGCTTTCTACCTTGATTTGCAGAAGGTGGCTGTAACGAAACTCAGTAAGGAAGGCAGACTAAAAGGAAACAAAGTGTCCTGTGCGGTGGGTTTCTCTCCAAGGCTGCTGTGACTCCCCTCAGCATCGAGTGTCCCTCTCTGTGCTGCTGTGCAAGAGGGTGGCCAGCGCCATTCCTGGCTCCTGCTGCCCTGCCAGGGCTCTCTCCCTCTCTAGACTTGGCAGCTTTAGGAGGAGGAGCTGGTTGCTCCTGTAGTTCCATCCTCGGGAATGACTCCCCCTGGGTCTCCCCGGCTTCCCTGGCTTGGCTTGCTGTGCTCCATCAGAGCTGAAGCATTTTTGGTGCTTAGCAAAGCAGGGGGATCTGGTAGGGCTGGATGGTCGTGGTGGATCGTGGGTCAGTACCAGGGCTGTGGTCCACCCCAAACATCCACGGTGCCTTCCTGGGCCTTGGACACACGTCAGGTGCAGTTTGCACCATTCCTCAGATTGCCTCCTTCTGGATGTGGGGCTGACTGGAAAAATCACTGGGGACTTCTTGAAATTCGTCCTCCTCTGCTGTGGCTACAAAGCTACGACCTCTGTGGCTCAATACTTACAAAAACGTGGGGTTTTTAGCTGCTCTCACTTACTCTGGATGCTTTTGTGAATTTACTTATGGGATGGCACAGTAGCCACTCACTAAATGACTCACCCAAATATTTGCAGGTCCTGACCATCTCATCACACAGTAATATTTCAGCTGCTGGAACCTTTCCTTAGCAGCCCTTAAAATGGTGTGAGCCGAACAGTTTGATGTCTTTGAATCCCTGGGAACGATGGCTAATGCTCTTCCAGCCATTCCCACGTTCTCCTGAATGCTGGCAAATGAGCCTTGGCCTCTCTGGGAGCCATATCCTGAGTTCTCTCTGCTGCACGTGGAATTTTTCAGTGGCCTTTGCTCTTTTACTGTCATGTCCAGTGAATTGTTACGGAATTGTTATGGGACACTACCAGTTCTCACTGCCATCCCAGTACTCAGCTGGGAGAAGAGTACTTGTATTTCTGTCAGGGTGTTCAAAGACTTAAAATGGGTGTTGTGGTGCATCTGTTTTTAACAGCTTCTTGCTTTGGATGCTTCAGATCTCACTGTAGAAGGGTTGACTTGTAGGAAAACGCTTTGCATGATGCTCCCCTAAAACCTCTGCTAGAACAGCAGTGCCCAACTCCCCCCTGCCCTGCCTGCCTGTACTGACACGTGCAGCTCCCTGGGAATGTTCTTTATTTTCCAATTCTCGGATTAATCCAGCAAACTTCACTGGTGCTAACGTGGGTTTGGGGGCAGAGCTGATGGGTTTAAACCAGAAAGACTGAAATCCAACATCCTGGAGGTCGGCAGACCCTGGGTGAAGGATTGTCCCCTCAGCTCTGGGACACTTGTGTTGGCAACAACCACCTCCTGGTGCCAGCTGGATTTCCTTGAGTCCATCGGGCTGACAGGCTGGAGGGGGGGTTTAGCATGAAGGGTGTTTTACCTGGGTCGAGGGCAGGACAGGAGTGTCTGATGTTGCTGTCCACCCTCTGTGTGTCCCAGTCCTCCAGCAGCGACAGCGGCAGCAGCAGCAGCAGCTGTAGCAGCAGCAGCATCAACAGCCCCGACAGAGCGTGTGGTGCAGAGTCCAGCCTCAACCCCAGCATTGCGGGATCCAGCCCTGTCTCCTCCCAGCCCTTCCACGAGCAGTCTGCACTAAGCCAAGGTCCTTACTTCCACATCAACCAGATCCTGAAGGAAGCCCACTTCCACAGCCTACAGAGCCGGGGACGCCTCCCTACATGATGACCCAGCAGCTCCCTGCCTTCTGTGAAGGGACAGCACTGTGTAGATTTGATATTTCAACTTCAAAGTTTGTTAACATGGAATTGCACAAAACTGCCTGTTGCCTTTTCAGTCTATATTTGAAATAACAGGTTAACAGGAGATTGTTTACTTGTGGTTTGCTGCACTATTGCAATGCAAAAGGGGCTTTGAAGCAATTTTTATAGGATTCTTTTTGGGGTGGTTCTAAAGTGCGTGGCAAGAGGAGACTGAGGAGTCCACATTGTGTGTTATAGGATTGCAAACTGTCCAATTCCAATCGACTGCCTAATCTGTTTGTTAGCAAGTTGTTGCTTTCTGTAAAGTTCTCTTAAGCGTTCCTCTTCAGTTTTATAAGTCTTTTTTAATTTCAATAAACTAGTTAAAAAATGATTTGGCAACATAATTTTTTGAGCATTTAGAGTTAGTAAGAGCAGTAAGAATAGGAGCAGTGACTGCAGGTCCTTAGGCCTGGGCAGCTGTGTGAGGAGTGTTCTCTCACATGAGCTTCACTGCTGCAGGACTGGAAAGAAAATGTGAAATTAGACCCAGGAGAGCTTGTGCAGGTCCTACTGGGGCCACTCAGAGCAGGGTCATGGGGCCTGAAGGACACAGGAGTCTTGCCCTGCTCCAGCACCCGTTTCTAGCTGTGAAATGTTTTGTTTTCTCTTAGTGTGTAGGTTGTTTGGGGATTTCTTTTTTTTCTTTAATTTGACTTTAAGGTTAACCATGTAAGAACAGGAGGTGAAGGAGCAGCTCCCCCTCTGCTCCAGCAGCCAGGGGACAAGGACAATCCCGAGCTGCGCCCGGCCGAGGATGGGAAGCACTGACAATCCTGGAGGTGTCACTGGCCCTGCCCAGGGGACAAAGGGATCTCAGAGGAGACAGACACACAGCCCAGCGTTTTATTTGCTGCTGCCTCACTTGGTCATGCCCGAGAGCCAGCCCAGCTTGAAGAGAGAAGGCGCCGCCGTGTCCTCGTCCTCGGTGACGAGCTGCCTGAACAGGGAGCCCGGGCGGGAGGCCTCATCTTCTCTGGGGAGCACAGGAGCTGCAACCTGGCAGTTTTTAAACACAGAAGTGACTATAACTGTTACAGCAAACCTGGGACTTGCTCCAGACCCTCAGCCACAGGAGCTGCAAGGCGTAGCCCACAGCAGGAACAGCTCTTCCCAGGCAACCTGACCCGCGACCGGCGTGGTGTTGCTGCTGGGGGTTAGTGACAGACAGACACAGGGACAGCAGCACCTGGCTGTTGTTAGCAGCCAGGGAACTTGGCAGGTGGCACTGAGTGCTCAACAAACCCCACATCAACACTCTGAGTTGCAGGGAAGGGGCTGCTGCCCTCAGAGCAAAGGATAACAGCGTGGTAGAAGCACGGCTGTTGCCCTTGCAGAGAGCTCATCGTGGAGAACTATAGATTTGAACCTCTGCAGGAGTGATTTAGCATTGAAGAGGGAACAGGCAGCTGTCAGGGATTTGGAGAAGGGTGGCTGGCACAGGATACAGGTGAGAGGAGTGACAGGAGAGAGCCACACATCACTGCACACTTCTATGCTCCACTCCAGCTGAGGTGTGAGAGGTAAGGAGTACCTTTACTGGGAAGCTTTGGGCTTTTAAACCACCCTTATGCTGTGTCTGGTCCTGAATGGTTCTGAGAAAGGAGAGTTGCAGAATGAATTGAACATCATCTCATGTGATAAAACCAGATCTTTAACTCCTGTCCTGACTCTTGTCAAGACTCACCCACTTGGCCCACTTGCCAAGACCACCATAGATGGATTATTGGGTTGGTAATAACTAAAGGAAATTCCTGCTTCCCACAGCAGTGAGTATTCCTTGTCTCTCACTCAGCACACAGAGCTCCCGTCTGAGCAGATATTTTAAACTGGGGGAAACGTAGCAACACAAGGCTTGTCTGCTACAGCTCAGCCACAGGACAGAGCGGAGCCTCTGCGAGAGCAGCACACACCCTCACACAGGCTGAGGTACCGGGCCGGGCTCCTCGGGGTTAGAGGGCAGCGTCCCACTGCAAAGGAGTTCAGTCATTAGCCACTGTCCTTCAGCCCTTCTCACAGCCCCTCCTCACTGAACTGTCCTTGATGCACTGCCCTCGAAATGCCTCGGCTGTGTAAATCCTCACTGCGTTTCAGGGTGGTTACTGCCTGGTTTGCCACAGAGCAGTGGCCCAAAAATACAGGGGCAAAGGGGGTGCTTTTGAGGGTCGTGGGGAAATCCAACCCATCTCCTGCTGTGTTGCCATACTGATTCTCTCATTTTACTGAAAATAAAAATCAGGTGAAATATTAACTCTTTGTCTACCTTCTTTCTTTCCCCACAAGCTCGAGTGTTGTACTGGCAAAATATTCCTATTTGTAGGGCCCAGCTGTACCAACCTGGACTCGCTCCGTGCTCCTGGCAGTGGACTTGCTCTTCCGTGAGCTCGACATACTCAGCGGCAGGAGTCCAAACCTTGAGGTGGAAGGAAGAAACACGGGAAGCAGCGATTCCAGACCTGCTCCCCCAGAGACAGGAATGCCTGGGAGAGCCCAGTGCCTCACCTGATCTGGCTGGATGCCAAGGGCAGGATGTTGTGCAGCTCCTGGGAGCTCAGTGCCCCGCTCCGGCTCGTGTACTGGTTCTCTGTCCCCGTCAGCAAGCCAAAGAGAACCTGGAAGGCAGGAAGGAGCTGTTTGAATTTGGGGAAGAGAACCTGGAAGGCACGCGGAGCTGTTTGAATTTGAGGGCCCTGCAGAGCTGATCACGGTGAGTCCACTGGCAAACCACTGGCATTACAATTGAACATGAAGTGTCTCCCTTCCCCCTCTAACTCCTGCTTTTAATTATTGCCACAGTTGAATTCCAGGCCTGTTTCAGCACTACTTAAGCCACTTAGTATTGCACAGGCTCCAGTGAATCCTGTTAGATAAAGTTGAGCCAACTCCATGCACGGTGACGCGGCACAGCCGGCTCAGCCAGCTCCTCTTATCTTCAGCTGGCATTAAATACTCTTCCCATTTCCAAGGAAGTGCCAGTGGTTATCTTTAGGCATTAAGCAGTTTAAAGCCAACCCCAGCTGCCCTTCTAGAAAGGCATTTTGCAGCCCTTGCTTCCTGATCCAGCCCTTTTCCTTACGGAGGTTCTCTGGACCAGGCGGTTCAAGTTGCTGTTCAGGTGTGGAGTGAAAACGTCCAAGTCGAAGGGATCGATGTGTCCCTCCAGGAAGTCAATCACCTTCTCAATCCTGCAAGCAGAGCAGAGGGGCCCTGTCAGGAGTGACATCCTGCTGACAGCTGCTGGTGCCACCTCTGAAGCAGCCCAGGATTTCCTCGCTGAGGTGACAGAGCAGAACGGGAATTACTCAGCAGAACAGCAGCTGCCTGAAGGGTTTGCAGCTCTTACACAACCCACAGCAGCTGCTGTGGCAGAGGAACTTCCTCCCTGTTCCTCTGAAAGATGCCTCAGACTGGAGCACACAGGAGGCTTTAACAGGTCTCTGCAGGGTATCCTCTGAGGGTGTCCCTGGTGTCCCATGGACACAGCGTGTGCACAAGGAGAGAGGACCAACCGTGCTGCCTCAGCTCCTGGCCACAGAGTCCCAGCCCTCCCCTATTTTAAGGGTGAGCTTAGTGTTGGTGCAGTGTCAGAGCTTGGAGCCTGCACTGCCCGAATCCTGTGATTGTTGTAGGGCCCCACAACCTTCTCCTGAAGGATCTGAGCCCCAGAACTGCACCTCACCCAGAGTCCTGCTTGATCCTGCCGGGCTTCCCCTCCTCACCCTTGGCCGTCAGGATGATACTGAGGTACCGCAGGTCGTAGAGCAACTGCAGAGCTCTGGTCTGGGTCAGGGGGAAGGTGTCCACCTTCTGAAACAGGACAGGCAGCCATGGGGCCCTTCCCTTGCACAGAGAGGGCTGTCCAAGGGGAACATTTCAAAACACCAGCCCCAACCAACCGAACCGAGCCACTGTGAGTGTGAAATGTGGTGTCTGATCCCCTGCTGCCTCAGCTTTGGGTGTTTGAGTGTCCCCTTTCCAGCTCTCATGGACAGACACTCTGTTCCAAGGGACAGCAGCATTTGCATCCCTGCATTCCCAGCCACCCTGCCATCCCACACCCCCTGCAGATCCCACCCACGAACCTTCTCCTGCTTCTGTTCCATGAGCTTCTCGTAGGCAGCGAGCACCTCTGCCATGCAGGTCCTCAGCAGCTCCTGCAGGGTCACCTTGGGAAGAGTGTGGCCACCCACCCGGTTCACCTCCTGGCACAGGCTGAACAGGAGGCACTGCACATGCCAGGAGGGCTGTGGAGGAGAACAGTGTTTACTTCCACGTGGTCTGGGAGCTCTGTTTGCTTTACCAGCACCCCATCCCTTCAGCTGGGTGGTGGGAGCTTCCTGCTTCCTCAGCAGCCATGAAGCTTTGTCCCCACAGCTTGGCTCAGGCATCTCCTGGGGTTTGATTTACTGACACCCCGGATTTTGGGTTCCAGCAGCCCTCAGAGTCCCACCAGAGGTGGGACTTGGGTGTGGTGAGAACAGAATTGCTTCTTGTGCCTGTCACCACTGAGCCTGCTCTGATCACTTGCTCCTCAGGGTTGTTTCTCCCTTGCTCTTTGTCTCCATCCCAGGCTCTCATCCTGCTGCTTTTCCCCTCACAATCAATAAAATTCACTGGATAAGGTTCACTACACAAAACCATTGCCATGCCCAGCCCCTCCTGTGCTGTGCAAACACAGAACTCTCTCCTGGCCTGGCCCAGCCCTCCTCCCCCTCCTGACTGCCACCTGTTTTGTCCCTGTGAGTGTTCTCCCTGCACCACCTCCACACCTATGGAAAACCACACACTCGGTTCCCTTAGGATTTCACCATCCCACTGCTGCAGCCCTGGCCTTCAGGGCATGCAATTTCCATGAAATCTCTCTCCTGGGACCTCTGTGTTTAAACCAGGCCCAAGTTCTTCCCTGGCTCAGTTTTCCAGGACCTGGGCCAGTCTCACTCATTGGAATAAACAGCAACAACGATCTATTTCCTTCCTGTGACCTCTGTCCTTACGAGGTGAGTATCCCAAAGAGCACCAGAGAGTGTTTGTCCTCTGCTCATGACACCAAACAGCTCCCCAGCAGGGCAGCACGTGCTGTGGAACCCAGTGCTCTCCTCCCCCCAGCCTGTTCCTCGTACCTGCACGGGCAGCCGGATCTTTGACGTTACGCTGCTCCCGGACTCAGTTTCCTCCTGGATTTCAATTTCATCCCAGCTGGTGGCTGTGGCCAGGACAGAACCAGCCGTGTCCAGCAGCAGCGTGTGGGTGAAGCCCTGAACCAGACTCTGGAGCACAAACCCAAAAGCCGCAGTGAGAGGACAGACAGCTCTGCCGGGACCAAGGACACACATCCCACCACACCTGACCCCCAGATCCCCCACACCTCCCAAAGGAACCCATGGAGACCATCCCACTGGAGTCACCTCTGAGCTGCCACACCCTCCTCTCCCAGCAGCCTGGTGAGCTCTTGGCAGCCAGTGCCGACCCCAAGGAATTCCCACACCAGAATCAGCTCTGAGGAGAGAAACAGCTCCTTACTTTGGTGACAGCCGAGCTCCAGATCTGATAAGCCAACAGGCTCTGCTGCAGGAGCTCTGCCTTCAGCCCCTGCCACTTGGCCTGCTCGGGGGTCACTTCCTGGGCCTTCCCCTTCCCCAGCTTCTTGGTGGAGCGCGTCTCCTTGGGCGCCGTGTCCGCGCCGCCCGCCGGGCCCAGGACACAGCGCTGCAGGTGGGGGCACAGCTCGGGCAGGGCCTGGCACAGCCTGGCCATGAACAGGATGGCGCTGAGCCCGGCACTGCCAGGGGGGCCCAGCTGCCCCCTCAGCAGGCCCTGGGCGCTCTGCAGCTCCTCCCTGACGCAGCCCAGCAGGTGCTGGACGCAGGCGCCGCAGTGGTCGCGCAGCAGCCCCCGCACGGTGCCGGCGTCGGCGAAGCGGTCGAAGGCGGAGCGCGGCCGCGCCGCCGGCTCCGCGGGCACCGAGGGCTCCGCGGGGAGGTAGGACAGGAGATCATCCAGCCTGGCCTTCAGCTTGGAGTCCAGGGCCGAGCAGAAGCTCTGCACGCACGGCGTGAGCGCCTGCGCCTTCATGGCCAGCCCGCTGCGGGCGAAGGGCCCGCGCTGCCCCACGCTCACCCACGCCGCGTCCGCAGGCAGGTCCCCGGGGCCCTCCGACCACAGGAACAGCGCCACGTTGTGCTCCAGCTGGATCTGCTTGCTCAGGGCAGAGCTGCCCGGCTGGACTTCCAGTTCCTGCAAGGCTAACGCGAGCAGCTGCTTGGAGCTGCTGGAGATGGAGTCGAACCCTTCTTTGGTCAGAGTCTGGAACAGAACCAGCAGGGGGGAAAGCACCTTTAAATGTGCCACTTGGACACGTCCCGAGTGCTGCTGACGGGCACCACTCTGGGCTGGCTGGGACAAGGAGGGGCACGGGGCAAGGCTCCCCGCAGCTCAGCACCCACCTGTAGCCTGTCCAGGAAGAGCTGCTGCAGCAGATCCTCCCAGAGGGACACGGGCCTGTCCAGGAGCCGCCGGCACACGGCCTCCCAGTTGTGGCTGCCGGACTCGCTGGACAGCAGCTCCCACACGGCATCTCGGATCCCTGCCAGCCCCTTCATGCTCCTCACGTACACCAGCAGGCTGCTGACACCGGCCCTGATGTCGTCGCTGCACCTGAAGGCAACATTTCCCCACTGGGCTGGGAGCACAGCGCTCCAGGAGCGGGGAGGCAGCTCACAGAGACCAACCAGGTGGCTCCACCAAATAATGGCACAGGGCTGCTAAGGGGAGGCAGGAAATGGCCTGCTGGGATAGGGAGGAGCTGGCAACTACATAAAGGGGGTCTGGCTTCCCCCACACAGCCCCAGGGAGGAGGAGAAACAAGGTGCTGGTTCAGGAGCCAGATAAGGCATTTTCTTGCCATTTACTCTGAGCTAGTTTGCTGGTGTTTGTGGGAGTGTGTACAGACGAGTCAGTGTAGCCCAGCAGGGCTGTTGTGTCCCAGTGTTCCAGCCTGTCTAACTGAGGATGAGGGGTGAGGAGGAGGTCAGGGAATCTGGGGCTGCTCTGTGCTGCCCAGGGGTCACACAGAGCCCGGGAGAGCCCTGCAAAGGGGGCCCCTGTGCCACTCACATGCTGATCCACTGCTGCAGGGTCTCCCTGAGGTGCTCCTGGCTGATGGGGTGTGCCAGGGTCCGCAGGGCTGGCTGGAATTCCACCACGGACTCCGGCAGGTACTTGAACCAGCTGCTCAGCTTCAAGTCCTCCTCCAGGACCCCCCCTCTCCCTGGAAGCAGAGGGTCAGGGATCAGCCCAGCACAAGAGCACCCTCCTGCCTGCACACCGGGGCGGGGGCAGTGCTCACCTGCAGGGTGCTGGCCTGTGGTGCTCTCCAGGGTGGAGAAGAGCAATCCACAGGGCAGGGCTGGGTCCGGGGACATCCCCTCAGGCACGGTGTAGAACAGAGCATGAGCCTGGTACAGGGTGGTGGTGAGCAGCTCCATCAGGGAACACACCTGAGCCTTGATACCTGCACCTGCAGGGAAACCACTCTGAGCCCAGGCAGCCCCTCCAGCAGGTGTGAGTGGCACCGTGTTCCAAGGCTTTTGAACTGGAGAAACCTTCCAAAGAAGGGCTGGAGGGTGAAGGACTCAGCCTCATGCCCAACTCCTTCCCCATTACAGGTGGGCTTGGCTCAAGACCCTGAGAATCTGCTAGTTTTCATGTACTGTGGAGGTCTTTTGCTGCTGGGGCAAAATGCTGCCAGCATTGACAGGACATGGCTGTGTCCCTGCCACCAGGAGATTTATGGGAATAATATGGGAATAACCCCCCCCGTTCTGGGGGCACGAGGGGGGTGAAGCGAAGGGTCACCCCGACTCTCCCAAGGACACACCCCCGTGGCACTGACCGTGGTGTGGCTGGTTGAGCAGCTGCTGGATGGCCATTTTCCTGGCCAGCAGGAAGTCAGCCAGGGCCTGGCGTGGGGAGCTGTCCTCCAGCAGCATGATGGCACACAGGGCCTCGGCCACCGCCTGGTCCGACACCGCCCGCGCCCGCAGCAGGGCCTTGCTCTGCTGCAGGATGGTGGATCTGCCCAGGGAACGGAGTGGGGGTCACCAGGGCTGGGTCTGACTGACACATTCCCGTGTTATGTGACAACCACCGAGCCAGGGTGCTACCTTCCCAGGTGTAAGTGGGGCTGTCTGGCTGTTACGGGGCTGGGTGAGGTGTTTTTGTCCCACAGGTGGTCTCAGGCTCATGGAAGGGTTTGGGTTGGGAGGGACCTTAGAGCTGCCTGGTCCCTGTCAGCTGCAGCCCCCCATGATGTGCTTGCTGGGCCTTCCCTGCCTGCTGGCTTTCCAGGGGCATTCCTGCAGTGTTGTGCTCCCCAGTCTGACACTTGGCACAGCCCAGGGGTGCTGCCAGTGGGCACGTGGCTTTCCTGTGGGATCCTGGGGGTGGGATTCAGGTGCAGAGGTACCTAAAGCCCCACAGGTGATTTCTCAGGACAGGTTAAGAATTCCCCCACCTTCCACTACCCCAGGGTTGCTCCAAACCCCGTCCAACCCGGCCTTGGACACTCCCAGGGCTGGGGCAGCCACAGCTCCTCTGGGATCCTGTGCCAGGGCCTCTCTCCCTCCCACCCCATCCCTTCCCAGCCCACCTGAGGTGGCTGGCGGCGGCCACCTGGCGCAGCAGGATGGGGAAGCGGGCGAGGACGGGGCTGCTGCGGGCGCGGGGGGCGTCCAGCTGGAGCTGCCGGCGCAGGTGGGCGCCCAGCAGGTGCAGCCGGGCGGCCGGCAGGTACCGACCCCCCTCCACCGCCCCCCAGACCTGCTCGGGCACCTCCAGCAGCAGCTTCAGCTGAGCCGCAGCCCCGTAGAAACCGCGCTGGGCCGGGGGCTGCACCTGGGGAGAGAGAGGGGAAAAAAGGGTGGTTGGTGGGGGGAGAAGAGGGAACACGAACCCTCAAATGGGACAGGAACCCCCAGAAATGGGACAGGAACCCCCAGAAATGGGACAGGGACCCCAAAACAGGTCAGAGACCCAAGAAATGGGGCAGGGATACCAAAAGTGGGAATATGGACCCCCAAAATGGGTCAGGGACCCCCAAACAGGTCAGGGACCCCAGAAATGGGACAGGGACTCCCAAACAGGTCAGGGACCCAAGAAATGGGGCAGGGATACCAAAAGTGGGAATATGGACCCCCAAAATGGGACAGGGACCGCCAAACAGGTCAGGGACCCCAAAAGTGGGACAGGGGCCTCAAAATTAGGTAAGAGACCCAAAATGAGGTGTGGGGGTGGAAGAAGAGGGGATGAAGGGGTGAAAAGGGGGAGGAAATGGGATGAGGGGGGAAGAAGGGGAGGAAAAAGGGGGGAGAAGAGGGAGGGGCGGGGGGGAGAACAAGGGGTGATGGAGGGGGAGAACAAGGGATGATAAGAGGGGGAGAACAAGGGGTGATAAGAGGGGGAGAACAAGGGGTGATGGAGGAGGGCAAGAAGGGGCGGTGGTCGCCCTGGGGTCGCCCCTCACCGCGGGAGGGGGGTCGGGCCGGGCCGAGCCGCCCCGCTGCAGCCCCCGCACGGCGCCCAGCAGGCGCTCGGCGCTGCGCCGCATCTCGGCGATGGTGTCGGCCGCCTCGATGAGGTCGCGGTAGCGCTCGCCCACCATCTGCCGCAGCTCCTCCCGCTTCTGCTCGATGCCGGCGCGCAGCCGCCGCTCCACCGCCCGCAGCTCGGCCGCCGTGTGGGCCTCGAACAGCGCCTCGGCATCGGCGCCCCGCGCCGCCATCGCCGCCAGCGCCCCCGGCCCGCCCGGGCCCGGCGGGGCCGCCGCCATCTTGGCCACGGGAAGGGGCCGGTTCTTCCGGGCCGCGCTGGCGGGGCGGGGCCGCCATCTTTGAGCCGGGCAGAGCCGCACCCGGGCGCCGTTGCCATGGCAGCACCGCCGCCATCTTTGAGCCGGGCAGAGCCGCGTTGCCATGGCGACGCGCGGGGCGGCAGGAAACACCGCCTTGTTTGTTTGTTTATTTATTTATTTCTCTGCTTATTTATTTAATTATTTTCTCGCCCGTTTCCCCGGGAAACGGGCAGGGCCCCGCGGCCTGCGGGTGCCGCTCTCGCTCCGCGCACCCCGGGAGAGGCCGTTTGGGGTCAAACAGCCCTGCTCTGAGCGCCGGGATATCCCCCCAAAATCCATCCAGGATGCACGGGGCTTGGAGCAACCTGGTCTGGGCAGGGGTTTGGAACTGGATGACCTCTAAGGTCCCTTCCAGCCGGGCGAGAGAGGATCCAGATCCATGGGAGATGCTGGAGTAACCAGGCTGTGTGGTCTCCTTGTGCTCAAATCCCTTAAAAACCCCTTTGGTGTTGGAAGTTAGGATGGGAAGAAAAAAAAAATCAAGTTTGGTTTTTTTTTGTTTTGGAGTTATTTGTTTTATTTGCAAGGAAAGTGTTGATGTTGCCGGGCTGTGCAGCTGCTCAGAGACAAACTTTCAGTTTATAAAATTTCAGTCTGTAGGAGTTGATAAACTTCTGGTTTATGGCAGAGTCCATCTCTTTACACCAGTGCGTTTTCCTCCTCTCCCAGCACACACGCTCCTCCCAGGGCTGGGTTCTCCAGCAGATCGATCCCCCAGCACTTTACACACCTTCATCTCACCAAATCCAGCCCAGAGGTGTTGCCACCCTGGGAAGAGAAGCTTCTCCTGTCCAGCTGCTCTCTCTGAGCCCCCTTGAGCCTGAGGAGCTGTTTGTGGTGATGTTTCATGGACACCAGTGTGGGGAAGAACTGGTTGTTCCTTTTCTGTCTCTTGGTGGGACTCCAGGATTTGTGCCTGGTCTGGGTGTCCAGGGAAGGGAACGGAGCTGGGGAAGGGTCTGGAGGGGCTGAGGGAGCTGGGGGGGCTCAGCCTGGAGAAAAGGAGGCTCAGGGGGGACCTTCTGGCTCTCCAATCCCTGACAGGAGGGGGGATCGGGCTCTGCTCCCAGGGAACAGGGACAGGATGACAGGAAATTGCCCCAGGCTGTGCCAGGGGAGGTTTATGCTGGATATTTGGAACATTTCTTCCCTGAAGAAGCTGCCCAGGGCAGTGGTGGAGTCCCCATCCCTGGAGGGATTTCAGAGTCATGTGGATGTGGCACTTGGGGACGTGGGTGAGTGGTGGCCTTGGCACTGCTGGGGGATGGTTGGACTCAATGATCTCAGGAGGTTTCTCCAACCTCAGCAATTCTGTGATTGGCTCCCAGAGAGGTGTCCAAGCCTGGGTCACATCCCTCTGCTCCCCCCAGCTCTGACACACACACACAGAGCGAAACTACAGGGAAACTCTTTTACTTCCCCCCCTTTCCCATCCACAATGCCCTCCCTGTGGCACAGACCATGGCAGTTGGGAGCCTTTGCAGTGGAAAGGCTCAGTCCCAGCCCAGGACACCGAGGAATGACTGTGGGGAGGAGGGCAGGGCTGGGAGCAGGCACACACCCCACGGCACACAGAGAAGGTGGGGGGGAGCCAAGGGCCCCCAGAGGCTGTGTCAGGGTACAGAATAACCCCTGGGGCATGTCCACTATTTACAGATATGTACAATCCTCCACCCTTCTCCTGCACGCGCAGCGTGGGGCAGGATGGATGGAGAGTCCAGGCTTTGCATCCCTCGGCATCTCCCGGGCAGGACACGGTTCCAGGCAGGATCCCCACAGTCTAACTCTCCTCCTGCCTTGGCTTTTTGCAGTCCAGGTCCTGGAGCAGGCAGGGAACGGGGCTGAAATCCATCTGGAGACACAGGTGCGAGGCTGGGATTCAGAGCAGAGGCGTCCCGGGGTTGGAAAGCAGCAGCTCCTGTTCCAGACTCAGCAGGGGGAAGGCAGGTTTGGGGTCTGCTGTGCCCTCTGCTCGTGCCTGGGCAGCGATTCCCCCTTGAAGCAGCCCCAGAGGAGGGGATGGAGACTCTCCCTGAGCAGTTTGAATCGGGCTGGAAGGACCCCCCGAGCTGTGACAGTGGAGCTGCTCTGAGGCAGCAGGGCCGATCTGAGCCTGGGAGCTCTCCTTGCTGGGACAGAGCTGGGTGGGCACCATGGGGCAGGCCTGGGAAGGAAGGGACCTCTCCTTGGAGCCTCCATCAAAGACAAGGCTCTTCCCACCGTGCCAGAGTCGGGAAGCCCTCTGGAGACACGGCAGTTCATTAGGAGATGGTTATCTTAAACGAGTCCGAGGCAGTGCTGGTGCTGATATGAGGAGCTGTAGGGATGCAACGGGAAGGCTCCAGGTCCAGCCCCAGCCTCTCCCGCCCATCTGAGTGGGGTTTGGCTACGGAGCTCTGGGAGGCACTGGCCAGCACAGCACTCAGAGCCAGGTGGGCACAGGTGGGAGCAGCAGGGATAACGTGGGAGCAGCTGGGATAACGCTCAGCCCATGCTGGAAGTGGAAGTGTCTTGCAGGACAGACCCACTGCAACCCCCCCAGGCGAGGCAGCACTGTCACCCAAACGGGGCTGGATCCCAGAGGATCCCTGCTCCCAGCACCCAGGAGAGCTTATGGAACACCAGGTCTGTGCTCCCCATCTCCTCTGGTCTGTGTCAGTGCTGTCACTAATCCCTCCTGCCCAGGGGCGGTCTGTGTGCGAAGCACTTTGGGGCTCAGTCTGCTGGCTCTGCGATAACCAGCAGAGCTTTCTCTTCGTGCCTCCAGCAGCCCTGCGAGGCTTTGCAGAGCAGATCCAATATGAGGTCAAGTTCCCACTAAAATCAAGTGGCTGGGAAGGAAAACTTCGTTACTGGCAGCAGCAGCGGTGCTGATGTTTATTAGTCAGCAATGAACCAGCAGAAGGTTTTATTTTGCTGGTTTTACTGCGAGCGCTGGGCTGTGGCTGATGGCTCCCTCCCTGAGCACTCCAAGGGGGCATGTTCCTCTCTCCTGCCCTTTTTCCCTGTTGATCTGTGGAAAGGTGGCTGTGGAGACCCCTGGCAGCTCCCAGGAGTCACCTTGTGCCCCTGCCCTGGCACAACCCACCTTGGTGGCCTTTGGGATGTTGGTGGCAGAGCCCCATGCCCCTCATTCCTCACCTGCAGCTCCATTATCCCCACCCCAGGAGAGCCCCTGGGTGCAAAGAGGGGAAAATATTTCAGATCCCAGCTCTGAGCTGCCAGCAGTGTCACTGCCAGGACAAAGCTGACCTGGGCATGGGTCCTTCCCAGGGCTAGGAAGCCAGGCTTTCTGTATTTCAACCTTAACCCAGCACAGAGAGGGGGTGCTCCCAGCTGGAGGCTCCTGCTGGAGACCCCTGTGGGGTCCAACTGGGAACAGGTGTCTGTCCCCACCATCCACTGGGATTCTGATGGCAGGGACTGCATGGACAAGTCACTGGCTGTCAAATCTGGGTCTGGCCCCACTGCAGGTGAGTGCTGGGGGCTCCACACCCCCCTTCCTATCTCATCCCCACTTCCCACACAGACACCTCCTCCCCCACCCACGAGGCACGGAATGCCCACGGCCCCACTGACGCATCACTGCGGCTGTGACACAGATCCTCAGCCCAGCATGGGCTCTGCTGCTCCCGGCCATCCCCAGCCCGTATTTCACTGTGGCACGACCTGCTGCTGGTGTTTTAATTCCTGCAGCATCAGCAGGGGAACGTGGGCTCGGCTTTCCTCTCCCCAGTGGTGCTGGGATGCGCTGGCTGCCCAGCCAGGGGACAGGGAGGTGCCTCTGAGCACTTGAACAGTGTCACACCTTCCTCAGAGGAGCAGGAAACAGTTAAAAGCAAAGAAATGCTGACAAGGCTCTGCTTTGTCTCGCAGAACACCCCTGAGCCCTGTGCCGTGTCCAGCAGAGCTGGGGAGCAGGTACCCAGCCTGGCACTGAGCCCTCTTCGGGGAGCTGGAGGGCCTGGCACAGCAGGATGTGATGCCCCAAGCAGGTTCTTGCTGCAGGAGCTGGGTAGAGCCGTGGGAAAACTTCTCCCGGAGCTGGTGCTCTCAGAGAATCAACTGGGGGTGCGTGGCTGAGCAAGGTGGCAGCCCAAAACAGGTGGCACCTCGTGGGCAATGCTCACCCTCACCCCCGCATCGACTGCAGTGCCAGGTGAAGTCTCTGCATCCCCTGGCCAGGGGGACCCCAGAAAGGGGAGGGTGAGCGAGGCCCGGCTGTCTTCTCCACCTAAACCCCCGCGTTCCCACGGCTCAGCTCTGCAGCGAGAGCCTGTGAACAGCCCTGGCCTCTGGCACAGAGGCTGCTCCGGGTGCTCCAGCAGGAAGACAGCACTTCTCCCTCTCCCCTGGGCTTTCCCTTGGGTTCCTGGCACTTCTCCCTCTCCCCTGGGCTTTCCCTCACGTTCCTGCTGTGCTGTCCGAGGAGGGGCTTTGCCGGGTCAGGGCTCCAGAGCCCTGGGCTGTGCTGAGCTGGGAGGGCAGAGCCCAGCGCTCCAGGACAGTCTTGGGAAGCCAAATACAGCAGATGATGGGTCAGTCCCACCACCTCTCACCCTGTGCAGGGTCCACGGGGCTGGACATGTGCTGCCCTCCTCTTTCTCATTCCCAGGTGCTGGAAGCCCTCTTGTCTGCTCTGCCTGGCTCGGATGGGGTGGGGGCCAAGTCCTCAGCACTCCCCATCTCCCGTCCCCCATCCTCTCCATCACCCATCTCCAGTGTGACTTGCCTGGAAGGAGCAGGACAGGTGTCACCCCAGGGATCCTCGGAGCCGGGCAAACCCAGATCTCAGCCAGGTGCAGGAGCCTGTGCCAAAGGTACTCCAAACCCCTGACGTGTCGCTGCTGCTTAAATACTTCCAAGGATTTCCCAGCAGGGGCCGGAGCCGGGCGGTCCTGCCGGGGCCGCTCGGAGCGGCGATCCCGGCTGTCAGTGCAGCGTGGAGGGGGGCAGGGGCCACTGGGGAGGGAAAAGGGGGAAATCCTCCATCCGAGGAGAAAATCTGCAGGCAGGTGATGTCACGGCAGGAGGAAGGCAGGGGCTCTCCTGCAGCAGGAGATGGCAGGGTAGGAGCGTGGTGTGACCAGAGGGGCTGCCGAGGCGGCAGAGCTGCTTCCCGTGGGTGAGTCGCCTCCATCCCGGAGTGCCCCCCTCGGGAGGGGCGGCTGCTGCCAACAGTGCAGTCACACAGCACAGGGAGGCTTCGGGGGGGCAATGGAGGAACTGATACCCCAGGCAAAACGCGACCCCAAACATCCTCGCCTCCTGGGCAGGGCGGTGGCAGGAGCTCTCCGGCAGCTCCCGCCAGGTCAGTGCATCTCCGTGTTATCACACACCCGTGGCCTCGGCCCCTCCTGAGGTCACCCCCTGTGTCCATGTGCATCCACCCGTGCAGGGGCAGAGCCCCAGAGCCAACCAGCCCGAGGGTGACACGGGGGAGCAGCGGAGCCACCCCAGCGATCCTTGTGGCCAGGGTGGCACTTCAGAGTTGAGATGTGCTGTGGTGCCGTGACTTGTCTTTGTTTTCGCGGCGAGGCAGCTCCTCTTGATCCATATCCTTCCCAGTGCTTGAAAGCCAACCCAGCAGAGCCCAGCTGAGGACCCAACACCCCACGGGGTGCTCACTGCTCTCCCCTCAGCTGGCATTCCACACGTGCCACCACCCTGCTGGGAGCAAGCGGGGAGAGGAGAGCGCAGGAAGGACAACCCCGCCGTCCCCTCAGATGCTCGTCTGCAGGTCCCCGTTGAGCAGGGTCCTCTGGGTCTCCGTGGTCTCATTGAGCCTGGATTTGTCCTGCTTGCTGTCGCTGCGGTCCGCCTCGTCCATGCCGCTGACCTTCACCAGGCACAGCACGTTCTGAAAGCTCTTCTTGAAGTTGTCGGACAGGAAGGCGTAAAGGATGGGGTTGGCACAGCTGTTGGCGTAGCTGAGGACCACCACAAAGTCGAACATGCCCTTGAGGACAGGAGTGGGCACGATCATGATGGAGACCGAGGAGACGTTGAAGATGTAGAAGGGGAGCCAGCAGAAGATGAAGACGGCGACCACGATGGAGACCATCCTGGTGACTTTCTTCTCAGACTTTTTCCTCTTGGAGGAGCCCACTCTGATGCCCGAGGACTTGACTTTGATAATGATGAACAGGTAGCAAAGGCAGATAATGGTGAGAGGCACCAGGAAGCCCAGGATGAAGGCGTAGATGATGAACCCCGTGTACCAGGCGCCCGACTCTCCCGGCCAGATGATGGTGCAGCTACTCCTGCCGTGGTTGTGCTGCACCCCAGCATAAATCATGATGGGCATGATCACCAGCAGGGAGACGCCCCAAACAGCCACATTGATCATTTTGGCTGTCCTGGGCCGCCTCCACTTGGCAGATTTAATGGGGTGGACGACAGCCAGGTACCGGTCGACGCTCATAACCGTGAGGCAGAAGATGCTGGTGAACTGGTTGATCCCATCCACCGTCATGACAATTCTGCAGAGGGCTTTGCCGAAGGGCCAGTGCACCAGTGCCACCTGCATGGCCAGGAAGGGCAGGCCCAGCATGAACAGCTCGTCGGCGATGGCCAGGTTGAGGATGTAGATGTTGGTGATGGTCTTCATCTTGGCATAGCGGAGGATGACGTAGATCACCAGCGTGTTCCCACACAGCCCGATGATGCAGACCACGAAGTAGATGAAGGTGAGGATGGCATTGCTGGTCAGGTCGAAGTGCTGGCCCGTGGAGTTCTGCGAGCTGTTGGTGGGAGCCTCCAGGGAGAAGTTGTCAAAGGGGGAAGCCGGGGAGAACCAGAAGGCAGTGGAGTTGGGCAGCTCGTACTCCAGCTCCATGGCTCTGCAGGTCCCTGGGCACTGCTGGCTCAGAGGAGCTGAGATGTCATCCTCCCTTGCTCTGGGGGTAGAGGAGAAGATTCTAGAAATCAGAGAGTAAACAGAATTGAAGGGATTCCTGGGGATCGTCTGCCCACCCTGCTGCCAAGCCCTGTGGCAGAGGTGCTCCCAGCAGAGAGGTTCCCCTCCCCGAGTGGTCTCTCCGGACACGCCACAGCTCCTCCTGTCCCTGGCGACACCGGAGCCCTCACGACTCCCCATATCCAACCAGTGTGTCCCGGTGGGTGCAACTGATGCCCGGGAGCACCGAGCGCTGGTGCAAAGCCCTCCCCGCCGCCCGGCCGTTCTGCGGGTGCCACCCCCTTCCCTGCCAGCCGGGACCGGCACCCCGAGCCCGGACGGCCCCGCTGGGCGACAAGCTCGGGGCAGGGGAGCCCCCACCCCCCGACCCATCGCTCCGCTGCCCGGGGGGCACCGTGCGGGGCTGTCCCGCCGCTCACCTGCTCCCCCCGCCGCCGCAGCCCGCCCCGGCCCCGCGGGCACCGGGGAGGCACCGGCAGCGCCCGCACCCCGCTCGGCTCGGCTCGGCTCGGCACCGCCCGTCCCGCACAGCCCCGCACCGCTCCGCGCGGCTCCGAGCAGCAGCTCCCGGCGCGGCTGGACCAGCGCACCGGCTGCGCCCCGCCCCGCGCGGGGCGGCTCTGCGGGGCCGGGGCGGGGACAGCCCGCACCGCCCTGCGCTGCCCACCCTGCGCTGCCAACCCTGCCGTGCCCACCCTGCCGTACCCACCCTGCCGTGCCCACCTTTGCCCACCCTGTCCTGCCTACCCTGCGCAGCCCACCCTGCCTGCGTTCCCTCCCTGCGGTGCCCACCCTGCCCACAGCCCTGCCAGCCCCCGGCGAGCCCAGCCGGGATTCTCCCCAGCTCCGGGTGCTGCGTGCCTGGGATTGGAGCCTCTCCTTCTCTCAGAGTCTGTTGGTGCGTGCCAGAGGGTGCCCAAACCAGGGGCTCAGGGACATGTGTAGGGACCCTGATTCTCCTCAGAGCGTGGTGGGACCTGCCTGGATTCACAGGGCTTCCAGATGGAAACATCCTGAGGGACCCCTTGGCTCCTTCTCCTAACACAGCCTTGGCCTCACTGACCGGCTCCTGCTGTAGGAGCAACATTTTGGTTCCAGCCACAGGCTCAGCTTCTCCTGATGTCTCCAGGGCCACCAGGAGACGGACAGGGCAATGGCATCCTGATGGCCATGCCGTGACCCCAGTGAAGTCTCCCAAAGTCTCTCAGGAATCTTAGAGTGCCTTGACCCCAGGATTTTTCACCTTGCCTCCAAAGACAAGCCAAGGCAGGTCCTTGCTGTTCCTCACACCTGGGAGAGGTGGGAAGGTGATGTTGAAATATTTGGGGTCTCTGGGGATGGGTGCAATACAGGTGGCTCCTGCCACAGCCTCTCCCTCTGCACTGACCCCGTGATGACAACTGGAGGAGGAAAACCAAAAAGGAGAGGTTTGGGGCAGATAATCTCTGTTCTGGCTTGTTTGAGATATTGAAAGCAATTAAATGATCGCTATTCCTGCCCTCCTTTCCATCACCTCTCCAAGAGACAATAGAAAGCAGGAAATTAAGAGGGACTGGGAACAAAGAGCCCAGTGCTGAGGCTGCTGATTGTGGTGGGAGTTTCTCACTTGCACTTCACCATCCACGTCCCAAGGCAGATCTAAAGACATCAGGTCCTGGGGCACAAGGGAGAGTCGTTATCAGCCTCATAAATCTTTAGGAGGCAGGAAAGAGCCCCTTCTGGTATAGATGATGTGGAAATGAATATCCCAGTAACTGTGAGAGGAGGGAAGGTGGTGCTGGAGCTGGTTTGGCTGATGTAAATGGGGGATTGGATCTCTGTGGGTGTTCCCTTTGGGGTGTCCTGAGGAATGTCAATCCCTGGGATGCTGCTCCAGGCGGGGTTGGCTCCACGTGCCCCCAGGATGGTTGTGCAGGAGGGAGCACTGCGTGCCAGCCTGGCACAGGAGAGGGGTTTGCTGCCTTGTGACCTTTTCACAGTTGTTTTATCCTGTCTTGGCTGATTCCTGTGCCCAGGAGGGATGCCCTGACTGTGCCCTTCCCTCGGCAGTGGGAAGAGTGAGGTGCAGCCTTCCCTGTGTGCATTTCCAGTGCTGCCTCCTTGGATTTCTCCTGTGAGCAGGTGATGCTGTCACATCCCTTCCCTGGGTCCCTTGGGCACCAAGCTGGGCCCTCCCCCTACTCTTGCCCTGGCACTGAGACCACCCCAGGCTGGCAGTGGCTTCTCCCAGCCCCCAGCATGGTCCTGAGCATCATCCTCCCCCCGTGCCAGGGGATGGAGCGGTGGGGCAGTGCAGGGACCCCGGGGTGCTGCCAGCTGGCTGGGGCTGCCAGCACTCCCAGTCCTTCCCTTCCACCTCCGTGGGAAGCTGGGGCCAGGGAGCTGGGAGAACCCAGCCAGCAATCTCGCCTGGCTAAACCCAGATCGTGATCTTCATTAAAACCCCCATAAAACTAATGAAATGATGGCCCGGTGAGTATTGAGGAGCTGATCGGAGCTGATATCCATCCAGGAGGAGGGCAGCAGCAGCTGGCTGAGCTGGGAATCTGTCCTTGAGCCTTCTGAAGACATATTTTTTTATTCTGTTTAGATTTAGGACTGAATTAGGATTCAGTCTAGAGTCTGATCTGTGTCTCTGGGTGGTCCCTGGTTCCGAGAGACGCTGTACCCCAGCAGCTGGTTTGGTGCTGGCAGATAAACTCCTCTTTGTCCTTTTGCCTGGGAAGCATCCACTGTGCTGAAAAGCGATTTACTGGCAGGGCTGGAGAGAGGAGAAAGGCACGGCCCCTTCCCACACGGCCGAAATAACCCCTGGGAGAGGGGCACGGCGGTTACGTGACCACAGAGAGGTTTTTTAAAGTCCTTCCAAGTTTTCTGCCATCTATTCCCAGCGGTTCTGCAAGAGTCCCAGGGGAAAACAGCACTTTCGACCCCTGTCCTGGAAGTGAGTGTCGTAAGGAGCCGGGTTTGGATGCCAACGGAGGGATAGGGTGAGCCGGCCTTTCTCCCACATCCGTGGAGGGCAGGCAGCGAGATCTCCAGCGTTTTGCAGGAATGAGGGACACTGTGTTGGACTGGAGCTCTCTGGGCTGGGCTCTGACATGGTGGAGGGGAACTGGGGGGCAGCTGCTGTTCCACAGCAGTCAGGAGGGGAAGGATTTGCTCCTGAGCGCAGCCAGCCTGAGGATCCCCGAGGTTCATCATGTCTTGAAGATGCTCATCTCTCTCTGGAGAGCTGGCCCCAAGCAGCTCTGCCTCTGCCGTGCCCAAACCCACTCCTGCCCTCAGAGGGACCCCCTGTCCCCCATGGCCGTGGGGACAGAGCCAGCACAGGCAGGGATGCCCGTGGTGTTCCTCTCTCCTGGGTCCTTTGGGTGGCACTGCCCTTTCCCTGCCTTTTCCCTTCCCATCTCCAGCCCAGCAGCTGCAGGCGTTTTGGTGGCTCTGCTGACGCCTGGCTGGAGGCTGCAGGGATGCCTGGGCTGGGGGAGGCTTTGCTCTCTGCTAATTAGCCAGACAAACAGGTCTGGACCATCTCCCCACGCCCCGAGGCGCGGCAGGACCAGGCTGGTGGCTGCCAGATTTAATCGGGCAGCGTCTGCAGCGGTGATGGATGGGGAGGGAGAGGAGCTGGCGCCTTCACCTGCGCCCAGGGCAGCACCCAGCCCCCGCGGATCCGGGATCTCCACAGCCCCCGCGGATCGGGGCTCTCCCGGGGGAACCCCGCACCCCGCTCCGGCTCCTGCTCCTGCCAGACCTCCCTACAGCCGGTTCCTTCCTCCCTCTCCCACCTCTCCCCTTCTCGCCCTGCCGTTATTTGCCTCCGTAATTATTTTACTGATCTCTGGAGGGGCCGGGCTGCAGCGGGAGCCGCCGCTCGCATTCCCGGGGCATCCCAGAGCTGCTGAGCCTTTGGCAGCGGCGGGTTGAGGTGCCGGCTCCTGCCCGTGCCTCTGCCCGCTGTGCCTGGCTCGTCCGAGGGTCCTGCGCAATAAATCGGGACTGAACAGCCTGCGTTTGGCAGCCAGGCTTTGTTCCAGCTGGAAACGTCAGGGCTGGTGACAGCACACGCTGCTGCTCGTGTCCCCTCCTGCTCGGAGCAGCTGGTGGAACTCCGTGGCCCCCCAGCCCTGCGGCGGGTCCTGCCCGTCCCTCAGGACGAGCCCAAAGCCAGCGGAGGAGCACAAAGCTTCTCCTTTGTGCGTGTGACCCAGGGGGGACAGGAGGGGACAGGAGCTCGCGGAGGGGGATGGCCCGACCCTGCCCGGGCTGCTCCCCTGCCCCGTCCTCGGGGATGGCCCTGGATGTCCTCATCCCTCATCCCGCGGTCCGGGCTGGCTCCAGCCGCTGCTTCAGCTTGACACAGATGGATTTGGGTTGGGAAAGAGCCCGGCCGTGAGCTCAGCCTGCGGGAAGGGGACACGGCAGGGACACAGCAGGGACACAGGGACACAGCAGGGACACAGGGACACAGCAGGGACACAGCAGGGACACAAGGACACAGGGGCCATGCCCAGTGAGAGGCACGGCTGGGGCATCTCCAGGTGCTGGGATGTGCCCCTCTGTGCCTTCCACCCGCCCCAGACACCACTAAGCAGTTTTATGGCATAAAATCCAGAGGGATTTGGGTCCTGGCTGCCCCAGGGCTCCCCGGAGCTGCCCCTTCCAATGTCTCATTAACCTTAATGAGAGATTGCACAAGAATTTGGGCCTGTTTTGTTGTTTAAAATGCATTTTAGGGGCACAGGCCTCATCCTTCCTGGTGCTGGCCCAGGCAGGGGCAGGTGGGAGCTGCCTGGGGCTGAGTGACATGGAGGTGACACTGGAGAAGGGGGGTGAGAGCTGACTTTGCTGATGCTTCTGCACGGAGCCCCACTGCCATCACTGTCCCCACTGCCACCCCCCTGTCCCCAGGCAGGGCCAGCCCTGCCAGCCACCCCCAGCCCGTGTCAGCCGTGTCCCCAGGGCCAGCCTGGCCGGGTCACCAGCTGTCCCTGCCAGCACAGCTGCCCGGGGATCCCCAGGGGGGGAGCAGGGGAGCTCTGTTTGTCTGTCCCCATGTCCCTCCCAGCTGGCACCTCGCCCTGCATCTGCCTGGCCAGGGCAGCTAATGAGGGATGCGGCAATTACAGGGCGAGATTGATTAAATCCGAAATCGGGGAGGTTTCAAATGGCCTTGACCTTTCCCAGCTGAGGCAGGGGAGGCTGATCAAAGGCTGTTGGAAGATAAACACTCTCATAAAGACGGGTTCTGCTGCAAATGAGCTGGATGTGTCCTTCTGCCACCACCTGCTCCTTCTGGCACGGCACAGGCCGGGGACACCGGGGCTGGCCGGGCTCCCTCTGCTCCAGGGATGGCACTGCAGGTCCCTCTCCCTCCTGCCAAGGCAAGGAATCGGTGATGGAGCCGCTCCTGCCCCACTGTGTGCCCCGGGACGATGCTCTGGGGGGTGTCCAGCTTGGACATCAGGAGGAATTTCTCCCTGGAAAGGGTGGTCAGGCCTTGGCAGGGGCTGCCCAGGGAGGTTTGG